TGCAGCAAATGGGGGACTCTGCCTTTGTATGCCCTTATCTTTAATATAGCCAGGATGGAAGCCACACTCTGAGGTGCATCCTTCCTTGGCCCAGTATACATGCATGCCTTTGGCCTCTGACCTGACCCATCCCTGTAGTTTTGTGTGACTCAACAAGTTAATTCTCATGTTTTACGATTCAAAATTTGAGAGGTCTGGTCATTCATGAGGGAGTCTTGCAGTCATTACTTAAATCCCTCCAATTATTTTAAAGTTCTCTGGTTAATTAACTCATTGATTTTGTAGAAGAAATTAATAAAGTGTATTTTCATTGTATAAGGCCACCAGCACTGAAGCAGACACACTGTGTTATGGTTATTTTTTTCACAGTACTTACAATTGTCTTTCTTCTTCATTCTTATCCATACAGAGCAAATAAAATTAGACCACAAGAAAAATCAAACAAACATTTGTACAAGTGAAATTTCAGATTAAGCCATATTGTTTGCTGTAGCATTGTTCATGGGTGTGTGATTAGAACTTTTTTCCTGTCCTTAGGAAAATCTGTAGAGCTGTCATAAAACAAAATGAAAAGCTGCATGATTTAATGGTGAATGTTTAAAAAATTTCTGCATGGGGAATGGTAAGAGCTTTATCATTATTTGCGAACTTTACAACAGAAGTTGCTACAAATCATCCAGAATACAATACTTGTTTCTCTCCTAAACAGCACAAAGGAAGGGCATTATGCTGTGTCATGTAGGGACTTTTTTTTTTTTTTAAATAATGTCTAGTTTGCTAGCATAGTTACAAGACTATTACATTTGCAAAAATGAACCAGCTGGTCAAAAGGCAAAGACTGGATTTATTATACTGGTGCTCCATTTTTCTGTTCTGTTCCACGCTTTTCTCCCTGAGGAATTTTGTGCAGTAATTTTTAGCTTCATTGGGCTGACTATGAGTTGTTTTTTTTTTTTTACTTCCAAAAACTCATTTAATTTTTCCTTACCAAAATATGGATTGGATAAATTTTACTGTATTTTCATTATAAGCATAACAGTGTTCAGATGAGACCCTTAACAAATATAAATCAGCAAAGCTACACTGAAGTTTGTAATGATTGAAACTCTTTCCTACCTTAAGATTGATGAAGATAAAAATAGAGAAAGAAAAACATAATCTAAAACAGAAAATACAGAAAGAGTAAGAAAATATATCAGTTACAATTTGTCATCCTATGAATTTCTCTCACTGAGTGCTCCTTGATATGAATTCAGGATTGCATATTAAGTCTCATCCTTTATTTTAATATAATTTATGCTGTAGCGTTTACTTATTTATTTATGTTTTATGCTCTGTCAGACTATTGGAAAACAGTTTTCTCCATATTAATTTTTAGAACTTACTTTGTCTGAATCTTTTGTTGAAAGCATGTACATTCTGGGAAAGATCCTAAATAATGAGAAAAGCAAATATTGTCATGCAGTTTGTGTCACAGAGAACATGTATATTTTTGATCATTCCAGCTAAACAGGCTGCTAGGGACTCAATGTGATCAATTTTTAGAGGAGCAGCATCCCTTCAGTACGGTTTCAGTTATGTTTTGGTCTCTGCTTCTGTTTCACGTGCTCTGAGGAGAGCAGGGACATGGCTTTGTATCTATGTTAGGGTTTCTTGGGGACCATCAGCACCACCAGCACTCTTTCTGTCAGTACTGGGAGCCTGAGTCTCCGTTTGGGCTGGCTGAGAAGGCTCTGCCGGCAGAGGCAGAACCACGTGTGTTTGTCATGGGCTGTGATCTGCAGTGAGGTCTGGTCTGTCCCTCTGAGCCTGCAGCTAACTGTCCCTAGGCAGGCAGGCAGAGGGGAGCAGGGAGCGCTCAGCAGGAGGGAGCTGCTGTCCGGCTCTTGGCTCCAGAGCAGCTGCAGCCAGTTATATGTGCGTAGGTTTCAGTTTTCAGACTGGTGCTGCTTTCCAGGCGGGGTTAAGTTATAAAGCTGGGGGTCAGGTGATAAAGCTGGCTCTTGTGTTGGTATGAGGCTATGAAAATAAAGGAAATGAAATTGTAGGCAACAAAACAACAGCAAACAACATCGGAGCGTTGTTTGGTCAGTAAGCCGTGACAAATGAAGCAAGAGCTGCACTGTTCAAATTTAATCTTACATATAAGCTGAGGTAAAAGCAGTTGTGTATTTTGGGCGTCTTTTATTGGCACCGTGCCTACAACGAGCCGTGCCGCCGCTCCCTCAATCCCGTGCCCGCCTCTCTCAGCCGGCCGATGCAGCGGTGCCGGTAGATGGCGCTGCGGGCCCAGGCACGGCGCACTGGCAGGGGAGAGGCGCTCCCTCCTCCGGTGGCTCCGCGCGGCGGGGCACGGTCTTTTCATCCCTTCTTCCCTTCCTTCCCCTTCAATTTTTTCGGTCTCTACTGCTGTGTTCTTCTGAATGTTTTCAACAACATTTTATTACCGTCATTTGGAAAATAAATTACGACAGACGCTGCCTGGCAGGAGAGATTTCCCTGAGACGGAGGGAATGGGCCTGGTGCTGCCGAGCTGTCCTGCTGCCCAGCCTGTGCCTGGCCACTGTCTCAGGGTGCCCAGTGAAAGAACACTTATCAGCGTGGTTTTGTAAGAGGCTGGTGCTTGTGTTTATGAGCACGGTTAGTAGTCTGTGCTGCTGGTGCATGAGCATTTCCAAACATGAGTGTAAATTAACAGACTGTAAAACATGCACGTGTTTTGTGCAAGGATAGAAGTAACTCTGTTGCTGCTGGCTGCATTTTGTTCTTGTGCAGGCCTGAAAGGTTTCTGAGCACTCTTTTGAAGGCATGCAGACATTGTGTACTGTGGGTAGACGTTATGCATGTTGTTTTTGTAAAGTACAAGACACACATACAAGAGAGAGCCTTTCTTCATTTTTTTCTGTTTACCATATCACCTTGTCTCTCAAGGACAGCACATTGCTAAAATGCAGGCAGAGATTTATTGGAGGGCCTAGAAGGACTTTATTCCTCCTGCTCTTCTCCCTGTCAGCTCCCATTTCCCATTCCTCTGCCAGCGTGGCATCTCTTATTCTCTGCTATGAGCTGGAAAAAAGCAAGTGTATTGCTTGTTTTTTTGTGTAAGGAGTCAGGGAAACATCTTGCTCCATATTGTCCCCCACTTTTGTCCCATTCCTTGGAGTAACATACTCCTTTTGTCATGACCTAGGTGTGGGAGGAAATGCAGCTAACTTCATTTCAGTCTCCAGAGCAGACACACACACACAATGTCCTGATAAATAGCCTGTAATGAAACCTATAGAATATCAGTTTTCTTCTTTGCAGTGCTTTGGGATGTGGCTGGTTCCATTAAAAGAGGTGACAAAAGACTAATTACCACTCTGGGAACTCATAGTGGCTCACCAAAAATATGATAATTAAGATGAGGCCTTCAGAGTGCCCAGTATGTGCCGTGCTGCTGTGACTCCAGTGTGCACTGGAGCATCCTGCGAGAGATCAGGCACTTGAGCCTTAAGGCAGGAACTAACTACTGGACGCTACTTTGCAGAGAGTTGGGCCAGACTGACTATACTACCATGCGTCATATTCACTGTTTGGTCTCCAGAAATGATCAGCAAGTGATGAATGTCAGTGGATGCCATTTTTTCCACGTGGAGAAATTCATTGACACACCTTTGCTTCATACACACTTCCATGTCAGATGCCAGTTTATTGGATTGCTCCTCTGCTGCCATCTGGCACCAGCAACAAAATGTAACGGTATATTGGTGATACGGTTTAACCTCTACTGTCACACCACCAATGTCCACCCCTGATGTCATGGCCCAAAAGAATAAAATAGTTGATGTTACTTTCAGAGCAGCCATTGTAACACAGCTGTGCCCCCAAAGTCCAACTCCTGTTTCCACGTCAGTTTGAATTCCAATTTCATGTGCAACTTTGGGGAAATGGGATTCCTGAGAGACTTACCAGTCTTTGAAAGTTTTGTCCTCAGCTTGTTTTCAGTTATCTGAATGGATTAGTAATTACTAGAAATCATTCCATAAATAAAGTGATAAGAGTGTGATACTGAGTGTGTATACTAAGCTGTTATCCTACTGGAGCTTATAATTCACATTGGACTGTGGAATTGCCAGTAGTTTATAATACAACCAGTTTTAGACCTAACTTCATCTTGTCTTAGGTTGTTTGTAATAGATGGTCATTTCTCTTCACAGTTAATTTTCAGGCTGCCTATAAACGTTATGGTCAGTTTATTTTACACACTTGCTTTGCAGTGAATAAGAATTCAGTAAAATTATTTGTACTCAGTATGTACCTATAGTATTATCCAATCATGTAAATTCAGGGGCACTGTTTTTAATCAGACAATATAATTGGTACTAATTTTGCAATAAATGTGCTCCTGAAGAAGTAGAAGCTGCTTCTCAGTATTACCATCTGTGTGGTTCATATGCAATCAACGATATTTATATTAAATGATATATATTCTGCCTCACCTACTGTTTAATTTCTTCTCTCTGCATCTCATCCAAGGGATCAAAACAGAAATCACAAGACATACATTCTGACAAGTAGTTTCTTTCCTCAGTCTGCCAAGGTACAACTTGTTAATGCAGCTTTATTCAGCACTTTTTCATCCAGAAGTGCTCCTGCTACACCCAGTCTCCTCAGTACAAGGTCTTCAGCTCAATTGCCATTGTAATCTCAATGCAGCTTTATGTATACCCCCTTCATGTGTTCTGAAACCTTCATTTTATTTTCATTTTCCCACAGTCATACAGATTTTGTTCTGTCCTAAAATGTCTCCTTAGATTATACCCCCCAAAATGTTTTGCACCTCATTTATTTTGAAATCTACTTGCTAATTGTATTTTTTTCCTTGTATGCTTGCAAAAGATAAATGTTTCCTGTACAGTACATTTTCAGTTTTAAAAAAAAGAAGCATACGTTTTTCAGATTGTCATTTTACTAACAAATTTGCTTCTCTTGTTCTTTCTTTTTTCTTATCTGTTAAGGGGTTTGTAAGCAAGCTGGATGAATTAATTCACTGGTTAAATGAAGCCATGGAAACAACAGAGAATTGGACTCCTCCTAAAGCAGAGACAGACAGTCTTAAACTGTACCTGGAGACACACTTGGTAGGACAAGATTATACTATGATTGTTATCAGTAATTGAAGTGTTCTGTGGTGTTTTTTATTTGATTATTATTTTTTAATTACTAGTGTGCATCTATATTTTGATGTAAGATCTGCAGCATTGCAATTTGTTTTAATGAATATACCAACAAATTACCTCTATATTTGAAATAAGTCCTGATTGCTTTTTAAAAATTAAATTAAAATCCAAAATTACATTACAATTCAGAAATTATCTCCAAAATTGAATGAAAATTGTGATAGCCAAAGAAAAAAAGAATACTGTTCTTTCTGCTGATTATTCTAGGATTTTTATAATGTTGTAATATTAAGAAAGCTTCCTTAATAGTAAGGAACTCATTCTCCCTTCTACAGTTTAACATAGCACAAAGTCATTTAAATAAAATGTTTGAAATAATTATTTCAATCACTTTACTTGATATGCATTTCTGTCAAGTAATTAATACAACTGTCACTAACCTTGTTCTTGTGCAAAGAGCTAAAACATTGGGTGGAAGTAGGAAACACTTGGATGAATAATCTTCTGAATATATTACAGGCTAGAATCATAGATTGAGAAATATCTGAAAAACCTCATGAGGCTTTCACTGAATTCTGCCAAGAGCTGCTTCTGGCTAAGACAAGTGAAAAAAAGACCTGAATTAAACCAAATATTCATTCCTCAAAACCAAAATTGTATGCTGTAGCTAAAGAGTACAGATCGATGTAATCTTTTCAATGGGTAGGTATCTCGATAAGCAAACCATTGTGGCAAAAAGGAAAAATAAAAGAAGGCTAAATTAAGAAATTCCCTCTCCCTCTGCCCCAATCTTAGGTACTTGCCAGTGTAAATTGAATAAAACCTATTCATCAGAATTATTCTTAGCTGATGCGTTAGATACCGTAGCTGGATAGAACAGTGCATTAGATGACCCTACATCAAAACATCAACACCCAAAGCTCAGATTCATTTCCATTCTGTGATAATCTGATGGCAAAAATTACTTGACAGTCCCAGGAAGTAATTTGATGCATTACAGGAAGAAATGTCATCTTAATTCCTACTGTTATACTAGAATGATCATTATAAAATTAGTCGCTTTACAACATACAAAATTAGTAACTAATGGAAAAGTGTTTTCAGAATTTCGGCTATAGAGCAAACTCTTTTATGTCTTTTGTTCTTAAACATTATTTTATAGTGCCTACAAGCAGCAACTAGATATAGTGTGATATAGATATCAGTTTGTAGTCTATAAAATGTAGTATGAAGAGTTTTGCCTTGCACAGCAGGTTTTTTATTTTTGTTTTTTTTTTTTGGCAAAGAGTTTGGATTTTTGTCTTGTACTAAAAACATTTGCTCCCATGTGTTAATATGGGAGCATTATGTTTGCAGGTGCTCTGAAGATACAGAGCACATAGAGAGATGAAACCTCAGAAAAGCCATTAGTGATTTCAGTTTGTTTTTCCCCTTACAACATGAAACTTGTGGAGACATGAGTTTTTATGAGTAGAATTGTAGTTTTCCTTTCTGATTGAAAAACAAAAGACAGACCTATGCTGTCCTAGGAACAGGACAATCACCAGGCTGCATGTCAGTCCCTGTCAGATTCTTTTTTCTACTTCTTCCATGTGGAGAAGCACAGTAGCTCTTTGCAGGCAAATTACTTTCAGCTTTGCTTTTTGGTTCTTTGGGAGGTAAGGTCAAAGCTATCTAATGGATTGGAATGTGGACTAATAGCTACAAGCTCATTGCTAGGGGCAGTCAGAACAAATGAGTGTGTGGGCACCTGTACAGCTCTACTTTCCCCTGTAAGTTCTTAGGCTCCCAGTTGTACTTCGTATTACATCTGCTGATAACTATTTTAATTTGGGGGTAAAAGAAATCTTTTTTGTTGTTATATTGTGGGAATGTACCTGAAATGTTGTATGCTTGAAGATGACTATTTAATCAAACAAGGTGGATATTTGGGGTGTTCTGCTCTTTATTTATATGAAGTGAAATGTCTAAAGAACATTTCACTTTTAGTTCGATGGTATTATAATTTTTTTCATGGCATATAGTGTCAGCGAAAAACCATTGCACAATTTGAAAAACAGTAATTATGCCTTTTTCTTTTGAATTTCAGGAACATATGCTATCATATTCATTTTTATACAGCAGAATTGAATTATTAAAATACAGAACATTTTTATAACAGGAAGATAGTTACTTGTATTAATTAGATTGTCAGCTTTTCAGTGGCAGTTGCCTGACAGAAATCCTAATCTGTGTTTAAAAAGAAGTGTATGAACTTCAAATCACATTGAGCTGAAAGTTAAAAGTTTCCTTGATTGATCATTGTAAGACAATACTGATCAAGGCCTTTGGGAAGGTGCGTACACTGCTCATTTTTTTCTTTTGCCATTCAGGTTATATAGGTAGTCCCACTAACCTGAGATATGTTGAAGTAAAAGGAGCTTAACACTTTTAAATTTAGGTTTCAGGCTCATGAACTCTAGTAGCAAACTAAACTGAAATAAAAGAAAATGCATTGGTTCTTTTCTGCAAACTTCATCTGCACTATCAAACCTCATAACTATTATTCCTCACTAATGCAAATTTTCTGGTCGTAGAAGGAGTGAAAACCTAGTAGATTAGTATTTTTATTTTTATTAGTAGAGACAGGGCCTTAGCCCTTGGCACAAATTATCAATTTCACCACCTGTGATATTGTTTTGTTGGAAGTATGTTTGTTGCAATAACAGAATTAGTGCCATAAAGAGAGAATATTTTGCATTCGTGAATTAAATCTCTGCTGTCAAATTCTAAGAAAAATAAATGTGGGAACAGGAAAGCAGTAAAATGTACTCATTCCTTTTCTTACTACTTGCTGAGAAAAGTCTTACAGAGGAAACAAGTACAAGGTTGTGAGCATCCCACAAATTTTCTAACATGTACAATTCTTAATTGTCATGTTAGGGCCCCAGTGCACGTAGTTGGTAATGGATTCAATCTTCAGTTTATTCCTCACTTTTTGTCTTGTTTTTCTACATCTTTGGCACTTTGAGAAACGGTGTGATGCAGACACTTCAAGACAGCATCATTATCAAAACCAAAAAAACCCTCAAACCCTACAACATTTCTTAGAATCTTTGCACGAGGTCGTGCTCACACAAGGAGTGAAATCTCTTGAAGATGTTGGCCATGTGAATTTCTGTTACAAGAGTCCCTTAACAAAATTTTCAGCTTAAACTGTTACACTTCCCCAAACTATTGTTCTAGGTAATTCTTACATCTGAGCTGGCGAGATTGTTTACCCCAGATGTTAATCAGTGCTTTTAAGCATGTATGTAGTATCTACATATTGGCCAGCATCTGTCAAGAGATGCACGCATGAGTCTGTGAGACTGTCTGAAGGTCCCACAGTGAGAGCTCCTAAAGCAATTAGCATCACTTCTGTGAAGGTGATAAGGCACTCAAACAGTTGCCTCTTCTTAGGTTGGTCTGTTGTCCCTAGTCATCCCATTATTTCATCTATGCAGAGATGGAATGGAATGGAACTATGGAATTAATGCCTGAGTACACTCAGTCATTGTTTTTGCACACAGACATAGTTCTTATTCTTATTGCCAAATACATGACAATTATTAATTGTAGGACACACTGGATTTTCATTCTTATATCACAGTTACAACTTAAGTCTCGCAGAATATCCCATGATGAATAACCGTGAGGTTTGATGATTATAAATTTTCCTCCAGATTGAAAGGTAGTCTACAGCTAGGATAAGATGTCCCAAAACAGGCAATCTTCTACTTGGTGGGTAGTTTCCATTGCAAATTTTAAAGCCTATCTCCCTGATTTTCAACAGGCATTCCTTTACACTTAGTTTTACGTAACATTAAACATGAAGCTGTCAATGAAAATATGCTTTCACAGACTCCTGAAATAGTGACTAAAATTAATATTTCAGTTTTATGAGTCTTCACCATGAAGTAACGTCAATGAAAATGGTGACATGGAAATCAGTTCTCATCAAAACTAGTATTCTGAAGACAGCTCATGAGAAAAAAGCATCTATCTAGATGGGTACTGCTGTACTTTTGAAACCAGATAGACTTTCCTGGTGGCTCAACAAATAATTCATAATGTTGCTCTTGAATATTTTAGTTTGCTAAACTGACTATTTACTTCTCTTTATACGTCATTAATACAGCTACGTTGTTTTAGCACAGTAAAGAAGTAAGATAGCAGATAAGGAAATCTGAGGAACCACTGAGGAAAAGGTTTAAATCTAAGGCACTGTAAAATAGGTATGTTCATTGAGACCTGGGATTTTTAAATCTAAATTCTTAAGTTTCCTGTTTGTTTTTAGTGTACTCCGTTTTCTTGTTTTGCTCTTGATAGCTTCCAAACTGTGCAACATTTGTTTGCTTTTATGTGTATTTTGCCCAAAGCCATTTCTGTATTGTGTCATACTTAGAACTAGATAATATAAGACTTCTTTAAAGAAATACCACAAATGAAGTTTATTTACTCAAACTTTTAAATCTTTCTTGCATTATTAATAGATGTGTGCAAGCAATTTTTATTTATTTATTTATTTATTTATTTATTTAATTAATATATTTCAGTGGAGTTAAAATTAGCTAGAAATTTGGAACCAGTAGTCAGTCATTTTTATCCTAAAACTTTTATTCTTCAGAAATTCTGTAAATTAAAGTTCTGAAACATTGAGTACAGGCAACATTTTATGCATATATAAATGATTGGATGTATAAAATGATACATTTTTGGTTCTTGAAAATAATCTAAGGTATGGTAGGTGTTCCCTTGATGATGTACTTACTTACAATTGTTTGTTGCCTCTTGCTGTTTTGAGTAGAACTGTATCTCCCTACATTTAAATTTGCAGTTTGCAACAGAGCAGACGTTTCACTTTACTCTCACTGCAGCTGTGGAAATATGCTGTCCTTAAAAAAGATAGGAACTAGTGGATTCCTCTTCCTTTAAGGCAG